TTTCAGCTTTTTCTTCATAGACAAGAGGTCAGGAAACTTTCTGGTTTAAATCAAATCTCAGCTTTTTCTATAGTTGTTTAGTTCCAGGAGGTGTTGATTTCGCCAAGTACTGTGAAACATAGGAGTAACTTGTCAGAGCTGGCAAAGCTACGTGCTGACTGCAACAGTGTGAGCACATAAATAATCAGACAAATTGTGACTACTGGGTATAAATTGACTGACTTATGGAAATTAACGAAATCTCTCTGTCTTGCTCACTGGAGGTCTAGTTTTCTGTATTTGTTATGAGTGATATTGGTCTCTAAAGGTACCTTTGATCACACAGTTAATATACATACTAAGTAGGTTGTCTTTTGTGTAATGCTTTCTATTTGCTCACATTCTGTAGTTTTGCAGCACGAAGTGAATTAAAGGAACTCTTCCCTTTGGTCATTATGAGTGTATGGGAAGTAGGCCATAGTCTCAGCCGAATAGCATTCAGTCTGATTTCCCTGACTCCCTAAATTTAGCCTGAAGAACTGTCAGTGGAGGAAAACCTAGTTAGACTCCATAGCAGAGAAAAGACTGATTTCCTTTGGCTGACAATTCCTACAAGGTTTTTTTTTCAGCCAAATAAAACAACAGCTGTGAAAAAATAAGCCATTGCGCTGATATCAAAGCATCAGCCCAGTCCTCAGCTGTCCCTGCTAAACAGTCTGTTGGGAGTGTAGGTGAATGTTACGGGCTATAGACAGTGACAACAAAGCTGGTGGTGTCCAGACCCCAGCATTTGTTGTCATAAGGAAAGATGTTGACAAGTGTTGGAGGTAGATGGCAGAATGGTGGGCTGGATAGCTAGGAAGATGTGCCATCCCTGATCCCCAGCTGTCCGCTGCCTCTGCAGTGAAGCAGAGAAGTCTCATCCCTGGCCACGGCAGCGCATGTAATCTGGTTCTCCCCAGGGACTTGTTGCAGAGCCACCTGGTTGGCTGCAGATGTTTTGGTTGGTATGTGTATAGGTATTGCTGGAGTATGGGGATGCACAGCTGAAGCCAGAACGTGTGTCTGTGGTGAAGAGAGCATCACCAGGTAGAGTCTAGAGATTAGGACTGGCTGCACTGGGAAACCTGGCCACGTGGTATGGCTGGTGGAGCAAGGAGGTCCTACCAGGGAGCCCAGTGGCGGGGGAGCTACATGGACAGATGACAAGCAATGAGGCAAATGCAATTATTGGCCTTTTGTGCCTGGACTTCAGCTAAGTAGGCACAGCACGAAGGTCCCACAGTCCAGGCTAAAACTCCTGATCTTCTAGGGTTTAATTAATTAATGCTTGTTGCCTGTGCAAGGAAAGTCATAGGCCTGAGCATTTGTCTGTTCCCCCTGTGTGTGACAAATGCCATTTCTGTAATTCTTAAAGGACAGAGTTTTTGTCTAAAGCTTATCCTCCACCTGCACCTGTCTTATCCCTGCTAATTGCTTGTGTGACTCCACCCAAGATCTGGAAAAAGCCATTGAGAGAGGAGGGTCTTGTCTCTGCACTGTTGAGGAAGAGAAGGGTGTCACATGATCTACAGTGCTGTTAGTGAGATTCCTTATTATTCTCAGAAGTTTCCAGAATAAAGCAGACTGTAGTGGGAACTTGCATAAATACTGGCAATTTCTTCTGTGGACAGTGTCTGAAGCTTTTGTAGTGCTCAGTATTATAGCGTCAATTCTGGTTATATTGGTCAATTTGACCTGGGTTATAACTTTATACGGATGTGAACATCATCCTTGGAAGATAGCCTCGAAGTTGACTGCATAATGGACATGCTAGGAATATCTCTTTCCCAGTTAGTGTGTGGCTATTTTTGTGGAGTATAAGATACCACATACCGAAAAAACGATCATCCTGAGGTCTGACACACATTTTAAAAATTATGGCCTTAAAAGAGCTGTCGGTGTTTAATACAAGTAACGTGTTGATATAATATATGACCTATATTATAGAGCTCTGCTCCAAAAGCATCATCTGCTTATTGGTACATCACTTTATTGATACCTATAAAATGTTACTTTTGTGCTCTTTCCCAATGCAGCAAGAAGGATCAAATTTAAAGATATGTAGATGGGCACAGGTGTCCTAACACTTTTGAAATCTGGTAATTTTTTTTGTTTAACTTAATTATGTTGACCAATTGTTAACTGTGTATGAATAGGTTTGATCTCTGCTGTACGAGTGGGTTGGTGCTGCCTGGGCGTTGAAGGAGGGGCGTGCAGGGAGGACTGGAATGCTGCCTGCATTTCGCAGAGGACTTGCTTCTGGGACCTCCCAGTAGCTGTTCTCTGCTGCCAGTATGAAAGGGGGATTATATCAAACAGTGCTGTTTGAAAGGGAACAGGCTTATACAGATTGACATCTTGAGAAAAGCATGGTTATATTAATGAAATAAATTCAATAAAGTGGTTAGCACATTCAGTTGTAAAGCATTTTAGGCAGCGTTCATGTCAACAATAGCTCCAGTCTATGCAAGATAACCTGAATAACTTCTATCTTGGGTATCTTTTCCTGGGCTGAATATTGCAATGAGATTTTCATGCACAAACTTATGTTTACATTAATCTATACAAGCTTTGTTAAGGGTACTTAGAACTGTCAGGTTCAAAAGTCTTTGCAGGTTATCTCACTTTTATTTGCCTGGAAGAAATGCTTGCAATTATTAGAAATTATCTAAGTCAGGGTTTTTTAATATCAGAACATATATCAAAGAGTACGGGAGGGGATTTAGAGAAAGGAAAAAATTAAAATATTTAATTAAGGGGAGGAAGGATGTATCTCTGAACATGTCATAAGATTCTTTTGTTGTGGTGGGCTTGTACACTTTTCGTCTAAGTACTTTGTGACTGGATTTCTTCCTACTGTTCTACTTTCTTTGCACTGATAAAGAATCATAAAATGCTTTTGATGAAATAGTTTTGGGATGCTAGATGTTTCAACAAATGGGTTGAACAGTGCTGATTCCAAATACTTATTTCTGGTATGAGAAGTAAAAAATTCTTTAATTTGTAACATGGGCTAATTTCTCTTACATGAGTATTTTTCTTTCTGGAATTCATGTCTTTGAAGGAGTTTCTAGAGGTCTTTCAGTAAAGCTGAGTAGCTCTTATCCCTAAATATTTTTCAACTAATTGGGACAGTAATCTTACACTCCAGTGTACAAAGGACACTAGCAAAGTCCCCATATCAGTTTATAAATAGGAATATACTGTCACTGTAGTTTTGATGGACTGAGTTCTGAATGAAGTACTTCTTCTGTATAGATTTTATTTTAAATCGGCTCTTCATTAGGAAAAAAGCTCCTCCCCCCCAAATTGGATTTTGATATTAGAATAGTGAAAAGATAATTCAACTCTTTCCAAGTGGCACTATATTTATTTAATTTAGCCTTTTCTAATTAAGGGGGTGTTGTCCCAAAGCACAGGAGCGATAGCTTTAGGTGAATGAATAGTAAAAGTTACTTGAATTGTCAGAGAGCAAGAAGAGGTGGGTTTTTTTCCAGATTAGAAAAAAAGAAGGAAAGATGGAAACAGTTTGTGAAGTGCCTCTGGGTGTGGGCCCTACACAGTTGTCTTTCCTTAAATTCAAGAGCTTTATTTCACAATGAACATCAAGCTAAAATAATGCTGAGAGACGTTGAGGAGTTTGCTCAACACTGCTGTTTGGGACCCTATCTCCGCTTCTTCAGCCAGTACCGGTCAGGATAGTTTTACTGACTTTGGTGCAGTCTAGATTCTAATTCTACGGAACAAGAGTGGCTGAATTTTCATTAGCTACTGGAAAGCAACAAGCTTTGTTGACTCCAATTTATTTAAGTGCATCTGGCACAGTGCTTTAAAAATCTGTAAGGAAAAAAAAAGCTTAAATTAAAAGTAGCAGCTGTGAGATTTCCCTATGGTATTGACGTATTAAGGATAAAATGCTGTTGAAGAAAATGGCAAGGTGCTGGGGAATGCTGGGAAGAGCACACACAAGGAATTTGTAATATTGTCCAGGCTGGCTTTAATATTTTTAGTTCTAAGGAAAGTAACACATGTAATACTGATTTAGGCCACCTACATTTTGTGTCCATTTCTCTGACCGTTTAAGGTGCTTTTAAGTTAAATTTTGACCTGCTTTATCAGTGTCCCAAAACTACTGAGATGTTTAACTTTACTTGAATAATTATTTAATTGACTAGGAAGCTAATTACTCTGGCTGTTCAGTCGTCATACTCCACTTAGAGACAGGTTATATAGCCTTTAAACATGTTGAGTAATACTAAGATTAGCTCTACTGATGTCATGAGGTCTAATTGTGGAGTAAGTTGCCATCATGTGAATGAAGGTGGAAGGCTGAACCCTTTGATACAGTTACCTGATACCTTTGAATCATCTGGACAATAATGGAAATTAAAATCTCAAAGGTGTATTCTAAATCCAGTATGAATGTTGTTCCTTTAACATGGAATGATTGTAGCTAAAGGTTTACACTCCAGCCTTACCTAGGCTAAGAATTGAGTCATAGAGAAACCTATTCAAAGGCCAGGCCACTTAAATACAGCTCCGGTCTTTTCAGTAGCACTTGAAAAACTGGAATAAGTATGCAGAGACTTATGTGAGCAGCTTTTCTTTGATGCGTGTTGTACTTGTAATAGAGAATGATGAATTTTAGTTCCCTTCAAAATACTTAAATTGGTAAGAACTCATAATTTTCCAATGTTATAAGCTCATTTTTCATTGCCATACTCATAATTTGCTATTGTTCTTTAAACAAACCTTAATTTTCTTGTGACTTTAAGTGTTAACTACTGTTTAAAATAGGACACACAAGAATTTCAGGTCACCTATACTACTGCATTTATCATAGAACTACATTTCTGTATTTAAATGGTCCTAAATTAGTTTTCTAGTTCTATCACATACATTTGCAATTCCTATATGAGAGAAAATTAATCACATATTAGAGATCATATCTATCTGGAGTTAACAAGAACTCTACTTACCCATAAAATCTGTAGCTCTCCAGAATGGGGACAGTAAAGAATAGCTGATCTGTACTGTGAGCCTTTGTCCTTTACAACTAGCAAGCTGTGAATAAGGGGGGATATTTTATAGCCTTCAAGCTGATGTGCAGCCCCCACAGCATGCTCGCTCTCTTTTCTCCTTCTGTCTTTTTCTGACCCGGCTCTTCAAATGCATCTAATACTCCATAATTACTTAATCCTCCGCCCACTGCTTGTGTTTCCAGTTCTTAGATGTCATTAACAGAAATGGAAACACAGTAATTATCATGCTGGGAGAGAACTTTTCAGATCTTCAAAATAATTTATATTGAATTTCCCTCTAATGTCATTCAGAAGAGTGATTGTTGAATCTAATAAGGGACAGGTTACCAAGAGAGACCACGTCCATTATTGGCATCTAGGTACACACGCCAGGTTTAAAAAATGTTTGGCTTCTAAAGTCTAGCCAAAATATATCAATGTCTAAATCTTACCTGATAGGTGCTAAGCGCTTGAGAAAGCATGATCCAAACTCATATTATTCTGCTTTGCACTCACTGTTTAAGTTTGTGTGGCTGAAACATATGGGAGTATTTTCTTTTCTTCCGTAGACATAACATTAGAGCCTGAAGCTGCCATCTCTGTCTTACTATTTTTGACCAATTAGAATTTTTTTTTTTAAACATTTTTTTAGTAATTGTTTTGAATAAAATAATGCTGTCTTTCTAGCAGTGGTTCCAAAAATGTATATTTTCTCCTGTTGCTCTTTTCAGCCCACTTCATTGGAGAGTTGAACCTCTAACAGGTAAGAGCCAGTTGCACGATGGCTTACAAAGTATGTGCTGTGTGCTATTCAGGATGCATTACAACCCCCTAGTGTTGCTGCAGTGTGGGCTAGAGGAAACACTGTCTGCCAGTTAATACTATTTAAAGATTGTGCCAGTAAGCAGATTGAGCTTCCCAGTGTGGTGCTGCCTGGTTGTGGCTGCGTATTGCGGTGTCTGTGGTAGTAGCAGTGGGCTCCAAGTCTGTGCCGTTCTAAAACTTTGCTGCACCACGGAGCTATAATTGTTGTGGTGATTATAACACTGGAGGGAGTTTAAATTGCTGACTCTTAAAGATAAAAAGCGATCTGATAATGAGTTTGGAGCCTCCTGTTAGGGAGGTTGGGATGTTTTACTGACACTCTTGCTAGATAATTAAAAAGCTGGTCCCTTTGGCTGGGTTTATGGAGAGGGAGGATGAGCTGAATGCTTTACGGATTTTTTTTTTTTTTTTTTTTTTTTTTTTTAATACTAATGGCATGTTTTGCTAAGTTGCAAATGAATTGGAAAATAGAAGTCCTAGGGTAAAGATTGCTACATTACATCTTGTAATGGGGAAAATGTTTGCACTGTCACATTCAGAAAAATTGTTCTACAGATACTAGAGAAACATAGCATGTACGTTTGACTGCTTAGAAGGGGCCAAGATCAGTCATGGATCGAGCTGCATGTGGCAAAATGGTAAGACCTACCTGCCAGTTTCGAGATTAACAAAATTAATTGGTTCTTGACTGCTTTTGGATATCAAAGGTACTACTCTTTAAGGTTAGAGTGAGGACCAAGTCTTAAACAGGATTGTCATATGCTGCCAGCATAAGCAGAGGTTGTGACATTTCTGAAATGCAAGCAAGAGGGGTAAATGTTAGCATTTTATGGGCAGATGTGGCAAACTGGAAAGCCCCAAAAGAGACAGAATACAGAGGGGACGAGCAGGTGGTGTTACTGCAGTAATAGGTATGCCAGAAACATTCAGTCTCCTCAGGGGCCAGTTCCAGTGTCTTTTGAAGTCAATGGGAATTTTTTCAAAGGAATACTGGATAAGGCTCGTGGATAAATAGAAAATGGTAATAACAAAAAAGAGAAAATAACAACTTTTCTTTATAAAAGACTGAAGACAACAAAGGAAACAAAATGAGGTATACAGTAAATGGGTGAAGACAAGTAAGAAATCACATCAGATACACTCATCTTCAGTGTCATTCATCATCTTGCTGCAGTGAATACTAGTGGGAAAACAGGTTCATAATACTGCACAAAGCACTAACAAGCAGCCAGGTATGGAAATCCTGTGCCAAATGAACTGTGGTTTTATCTGCAAGCTAATCAGTTATAAAGATTATGGTAAAGATAAGACAGTATGGGAATCCAAATTTATAGAACAGAGCTGTCAAGCTAAAATGTTTTCTATTTAAATATAATCCTGCCAACCTGTTGTAAGATGCACTGCAGAAGGGTCTTACCAACACCAGGTGCTTATTATGCTAGGTGCTGCACAAATGCACATGGAGCACTTTTTGTGCTGGGAAAGTTTAGAACCAAGCAGAAAAATCATATCATAGAATAGAATGGTTTGGGTTGAAAGGGGCCTTAAAGATCAACTAGTTCCATCCCCCCTGCCCCGGGCAGGGCCCCCTTCCCCCAGCCCAGGGTGCTCCCAGCCCTGTCCAACCTGGCCTTGAACCCTTCCAGGGAGGGGGCAGCCACAGCTTCTTGGAGAAACCTCTGCCAGTGCCTCACCACCCTCACAGGGAAGAATTTCTTCCTTATATCTAATCTAAATATTTACCCTCTTTCAGTTTAAAAGCATTACCCCTCATCCTATCACTACACGCCCTGATAAAGAGTCCCTCCCCAGCTTTCCTGTAGGCCCCCTTTCAGTACTGGATAGGCTGCTATAGGGTCTCCCCTGGAGCCTTCTCTTTAGAAAATATCTCAATAGTAACCTGGTGGAGGGTCAGTGGCAGAAGTGATGAGAGGACCCAGTTGTGTTCGCTGGGTGAGGGAGGCCCAAGTTCTGCTCTGGTGAAGCATTAGCTGGTCTGCCCTCCTGAGAGGGGCAATGTGCTCAGGTCTGAGACTGACCGTGTACCTGTACAGCTTCTGAAACAGAGCTTGGTCATGGGGGACTCTGCCTGGGGGACCTGAGGTATGTTTATGTCCCCTAGGCATGTCCCAGGACTGACAGATGTGGAGAAAATATTTTCTCTGCAGGTGCTGAGGAGAAAATTTCTTTTGCTGAAAGCAAGTTGTCTAGAATAAATGGCGGAGTGTTTATTTCTTTCTTAATTGATTCACTGCTTTAAGTTAAATTAATCTAATATTCTGCATTGTGATGGAGCTCTCATTTGAAGGTTAATTTACTGCTTTAATTTTTTACAAGGTGGAAATTTGATTTACTCGATCGTGGCTTCTAGTAGACTGGCCTCTTTTCAGAAAAAAAGTGGACAGTTTATACCTGTTAATCTGAGCAGTAAAATACCAGAAAGACTTACTGTAAAGGACTCTCTACACCGGGGAATATACAGTGCTTCCATATATGGTATTGTTTTTCTTCTCTGCCCTTGAATGCTAGTGAAAGGCTATTTTTGTCTGGTTCACAGGTCTAGTAGATGCAGTTATTTGGGGAAAATGAAAAGATTTTTAGAAAAGAAACTATCATCAGCTTACTTGCTCAACATGAGATTTCTGTGACTATGATGAAAATAAACCTAACAGAAGGGAAAGTGGAGGAGTTAGATCAAAGGGTGAGCATATTGGAGAGTAGAGCTAGGACCTGTGGTCATGCTTCAGCAAACATTTTTGGGGAAAAAGTTGACCATAAGCTGATCTACAACATCCCATTAAGATCCACTGCAAGTCCCATTCTTTTCATGGGGGCATATTATCACACAGGGAGTAGTGCACAACATCACAGTGCTATGAGACATGTGGCTGCAGTTCCCCCAGCATGCTGCAGTGCTGCTGCTCTAGCTGTGTAGAGGACATTAAAGATTTATTACTCTCTGCAATTCAGATTACTCTGAAGTACTTTGATGGGGAGTCCATATTAACAAATACCATTACTGGGCTTAGAGGTACACTTCTAATTTATTATGAAAATAATTACATATTCTATCTGTAAAAACAAGTAAACACAATTACCGGAGTTCTGTCCAAGATTTTCTGGAAAGAGGCACACACATCTACTGCACTCTGGATTTACTGTGCATCCTTCTGTGCACGTCAGACGTGACCTGAACATGCTGTTTGGCTTGGATTTTTTGATGTTTTACAGTTCTCTTGTAACTATAGCCCTGAGTGGGCTACAGAAATCCCCAAATCCAGGACAAATTTCCATTATGTATGTGGAGCACTCTGGTCCTAATACACATTCTAGAGACCCCAGTTGTGCATATTTAGGGGCCACGTTTGGAATTCTGGAAATTTTGTCAGGGTTGTACTGGGACGTACCTAATGGTCATGTTCTCAGATTAAGTACAGTGTTTCCTAATGGCAAAAAAAGGACTTGTCAGTGAAAGAGTGTATGAATTGCTGCTGTCACTACTACTTTTCAAGCTGTTTTTACCAATATGCCCTCAATATTATGAGAAGAACTTGGCCACCAAAACCTTGTCTACCTATTAAAATGCTGTGGCTTTATGAAACTGAGGCAGTGGGCCCTCTGAATGCCCTTATCTCACTTTCAGACTGATTTAGGTTGATATTCCTAATAAAAACAGCAACTCTTATGCTCATAATGGAGACACTCCTACCACAAATTTTAAATTAATTACTGTCCTGGTTGGGGCTGGCCTAGAGTTCCCGTTGGTCTGTCAGCGGGAGCAGTGCTGCAGCACCCTGAGACCCCAGGGGCTCCCCAGGTCCCAGTGCCCTCACCTGTGTGCGGGGGCGGGGGGAGCACAGCTGGAGGGCTGGGCCAGGATTGGCTGATAGTCCATGTCATGTGACCTTGTGCTCACTATATAAAGGCAGGAGAGGGCCAGGAGGGGCTCTCACTTCCAGGAGCGTGGTTGTGGGGCCTTGGTGTTTGGGATCGTCGACTGGGAGCAGGCGGGTGGTGAGCAGCTGTATGGTACATTACCTGCTGATACTGCTGTCAGTGTATTATTCTGTTACTGTTATTAAACTGTTTTTATCTCAACCTGCGAGTCTCCCTTTGCCCCTCTGATTCCCTCCCCATTCCCAAGTGGTGGGAGGGTGGGTGAGCGGCTGTGTGGCATTTAGCTGCTGTGTGGCATTTAGCTGCTGAGTAGGCTCAAATCACAACAATTACTTAAAATGGATTGTCATTAAGTCAGAACCATGGTTCAGTGTAAACAAGTTCAGCTGGCCATGGCACCTCTTTGGACCTTT